AAAAAAAGGAAAACAAAAATTGAAATAAAAATAAAAGTATTTTTAATTATTCAATTTGGATGTTTTAAATGTATGTTTTGTATATTTCAAATTTATTTTCGTTTATATTATACAAAAGCAAATATTCAAAAAAATAGAAATAAATTTAATGAAGTAAACTATTACGCAATATGTACTGATTGAAAAAAATGTAAATATTAATTTCTTTTTTTTTTACCGAATTATCTAGGGCATCAAACATATTTTTAATATTAAATTAACACACTTATTATATTTTACATTTAGATATACAGAAATGATGATACGATTGTGAATTCTAGGGTTAATTAATTATTCGTTGGAATTTATTTGTGCTTATTTAGCAGCATAATTTAATATTTTAAAAGATCTATTTTAAATATTGAAGTTTCCTACATTTTCCTTATTCAGTCATCCTAATCATGAAGCACAATTACAAAATATGAATATCTTCAATAGCAATAAATTATAAATGCTGATTCTACAAATATTTTTAACAAACAATTTTGAACATTTCTTATGAAAAACTTCTAATATCAAAGAAACATGGAAATCACAATTCTAATATCAAGCATTACGTACATTGATTGTCTTTGTAAAATCCGATCAGCATTTAGTGTTTTAGATCTGTTGCAAAAAATGTATAATAATAGAAGGGATTTCGTGAGATTCATCTAGTAAAAGAATAACGATATCTTCAAATTTTAATCTCTATTAATATCAACAACATTTAATAATAATAAACAATGAAAATTAAATTTGTTTTTAATGCCTAAAATAATCGCTCGTGTATTGTTGCTATTCTCAGCGCTGCCGATATTTGAATAAAATTTTCAAAAGACATAAATACAAATATTCTATTCCAAACATATACTTTATAATATAATGAAAATTTAATAATGGATATATATAATATGATAAATATATTTACATTTTTATAATGAATTAAAATTGAATTTTATCTTTTTAGAGCATAATAGTCGTCCTATTTGGGCAAATGAATAATGAATTCTTCGTATTATCAATAAATCCCGTTTTGTTAATTAAGCAAATTTCACGATTGTCCTTTATATCCTAACGGATGAATTTTATTTTCCAGTTGATAAATTATTATTTTGCTCCAAGTTATTACATAATAATTATTTACATTTTGTGTAATTGAGTCATTAAATATAAAATATACGAACAGATATATTAGACACTAATATAATTATACTGGCAAATGATAACACATGTTCTCTGAGATCCATATTTTATGAAAATTCTAAGAGTGCATTTAAGTTTATAACCGTATCATCAATTGTAAAAAAAAAAAAAAAATTAATGGAAGTCTTGTAAAGTCATAATTCACATAAGTAAGGCTCAAGGTTATCTAGTGTGAAAGAGAACCTTTTAGTCAAATGTCGACTAAACTAAGTTTTTTGTTAAAGCTGAATATTGTTGCAAGTGAAAAATGTTCTATTGAACTTATATTTAAATATCAGTGATAAATCCCATTAGGTTCTCAATTCCATTAACACTAACATTTTTATACGAAATTAAAGTTAAGAAAAAATGCTTGTGAATACGTAAGAAGTGCATTAAAGGGAAATATGAAAATTAACTTTTATATTCACATTCATAAATAAAGTAATAATCTAATTAAGTCGTAGGTTGTTTAATGGCAATAAATTTTAATTCTACAGTTACATACTGTAGATGTTCCGTTAAAGTAGTAAGCTAATTAAATCCTAGGTAGTTTAATAGTAATAAATTTTTAATTCGACAGTTACTTCCGGTAAATTTTTCTAATAATTATAAATTTGTTCCGAAAAATTGTCTATGCTACGCCAAAATATTTATTATAGTATTTTATTTTACCGAATATTTTATTACAATAGTGTTGGTGATTTTGTTTACAATAGCACAGTTAATATCAATCAAAGAGAATCAATGAATAAAGACGCCATTAAACAAAAACTAGTAATACGATATAAACAAATAAATATTATTTATTATGTATTATTTCAATTATCCATCGAATATCTATTATTCTTTTATAAACATTGTTTTACGTTGTCTTCATGTAATATTATGAAAATATTTATTCTTCTCTGTCCATTAATTGTGAAACTACAAATATATGGTTATTCATGAAATCAATTAATATTAAAAATTTTATTTAATGCTTTAAATATTCTCTTTTTTACGTTTAAAATACATATCACGAATTGTAATAATATACATTAAAAATTAAGAAATATTGTAAAATTGACGTTATTAAAGGTCCTTTCAAGATCAAATAAAAAAAGTATGAATTTTTAATTATTAATCTGTTTATTTAGAATTTCTTTTTAACCATTTATTCATACATTTTTTAATTATTGATATTCAAGTAAAATAGTTTAGTTTTATTTGGTACAATTGTACAAAGAGTATTAAATCTTCATCGAGAGCGATAATTTGTAAAAATATAAAAAAGATAAATAGTTTTAATTGTTATGTTCCTCACGGTTTAACGCGTCGTTTTAAATTTTTAATCATATTATACGTATAAACTGCATACGATATTTCTCATTTTCCATAAATAAGAAATATAATATGTATAATAAATGAATTTGATGTTGAGCAACATGATTTTTAGGGACAATCATGTTTAATAAAGGCGAAAGTACGCGTTAACTGTAAACGCGTAGAGCGTTGAAATTAGAACAGATACGAGAAAATAGAGACATTAAAGGGTTACAAAATTAGTTTATGCTACAATTACGCGTAGTTTTAAGAACATTGTTATTGCTACTGTGAATTGAAAATGAGTCTGAAAATATTATAATTGTCTGGATGGATATTACTTTGAGTAAGATACATACTCGACGAAATATGAAATACAATGGAGCCTACACTTGTCGCGTAAATAGTAAATTGAAATAATGACTATTTTATAGTACATTTGATTATTATAACGAGATGTCTCTTGAATTATGATGTTAACTTATCTAAGGCTTCGTAAGAAACGTCTGCGAAAAAAATCAGAAACTTTGCTTATCCACATATTAATCATAGCGTTAATTCATGTCTCCAGGAGATGGCGAAACAAATTTTATGATCCACTTTCCAGTCATATGGCACTTTTTCGTCGTTTCTTCGGCGCAACTCTTATCTCCATCTCTTCGTAAAATGAAAAGCCGCGACTATATAGGCAGAAGACACATAAACTTGGAAGGATATACAGGGATGGGGGGGGGGGAGCGAACGTCGGCTCCAAGGTGCTTTGAAAACTACGTTGCCTATAACATTAACAGAGAGTCGTTTATGTGCTGCGAAGCCGCCTGGCTGATTAGCAAAAATGATCAGTTGTAATAAGTTTGGTCGCCTGCGTATCGCATAAATATTTATGCGACGGATTCGCGGCAGTGTTGGTGGTAGTAGGGATTTTATTAAGGTTGATATGGCGGGGGGGGGGGGGGGGGGGGGGGGGGGGGGGGGGGGGGGGGGGGGGGGGGGGGGGGGGGGGGGGGGGGGGGGGGGGGGGGGGGGGGGGGGGGGGGGGGGGGGGGGGGGGGGGGGGGGGGGGGGGGGGGGGGGGGGGGGGGGGGGGGGGGGGGGGGGGGGGGGGGGGGGGGGGGGGGGGGGGGGGGGGGGGGGGGGGGGGGGGGGGGGGGGGGGGGGGGGGGGGGGGGGGGGGGGGGGGGGGGGGGGGGGGGGGGGGGGGGGGGGGGGGGGGGGGGGGGGGGGGGGGGGGGGGGGGGGGGGGGGGGGGGGGGGGGGGGGGGGGGGGGGGGGGGGGGGGGGGGGGGGGGGGGGGGGGGGGGGGGGGGGGGGGGGGGGGGGGGGGGGGGGGGGGGGGGGGGGGGGGGGGGGGGGGGGGGGGGGGGGGGGGGGGGGGGGGGGGGGGGGGGGGGGGGGGGGGGGGGGGGGGGGGGGGGGGGGGGGGGGGGGGGGGGGGGGGGGGGGGGGGGGGGGGGGGGGGGGGGGGGGGGGGGGGGGGGGGGGGGGGGGGGGGGGGAAGCGGGGTTAGACCGGAAATAGGCGTCGGAAGAGTCTAGCCACTCGAAATAATTAATCAGAGCCGCTGCATGCGAGGACACGAAAGCCGTCTCCTGCACACTTCGTGCACTCGTTATACGTTACTCTACGTAAATGTGTGCCTTTTGGCTCCGCTGGATTTTCGCTTTTTGACTTTTCGGATTTTCAATTTTACAAAGCTGGCCTGCCTTGCGTTGCGCGCGTGCTCGTCCCATGCTTCCCTCTCCTCCCTCCTTTGACCCTCCTCGCGCACGCATACGCACTCACGCGCACCCACACACGCGCTCTCTCTCTCTCTCTGGATATTCCCCTCTCCGACCCTTACTCGCGTCAATCTGCCGAGACCTCCCACCCCTCTCCAGCTCTTACGTAATTGAATTTACTTGTACCGCGATAATTTAGATGGATGAGTCGAAATGGATATGTCTTTTGTCAAGGAATTGTAGCGATCTTCCTGGTTGGGCGACAAACTGGTTGCATAAATTAAAATTGATTACTCAGGGGGTTAGCCCGGAACGATTCTCAAGAAACTTGTAATTCCGGTACTTAAAAATGTCTCTCCGCAGGTTCGCGTCCTTTTGGACTTTGTGGCTGTAAAGGGGGAAGCGGTGGCCGCGGCGGGGGGTCGAATTCCACGATCGAAGTTCTCGCTTGCTTTAAATTGCAATGGACGATGTCGTTTAACGGCACACTACCCTTGCGAAAAGCGATTTCCCACATTAAAGAAATAATTAACGAGGCGCACACGCTTTCATAAGTATCGCCCAGGGACGAAGACTCAAAAGGGGTGAACAATTCAATCAAGCGGCCGTGTTACGTCAGCGCGCTCGTACGATTTTTACGAGTGGCGCCTCACGTAGCCGTATCGAGAGTCTGGACGAGGTCCATAAAACGCAATCCCCACGATACTGGAGGTATCGCCAGGCACGGCGTCATTATCTCGGCAGGCCGAGAATCAAGGGCGGCCGCGCACGTACCTTTGGTCTCGAGGAAGGCGCTGGCCAAATTGGTGAGGTCGAGGGACAGGAGCAGCAGCAACGGCGCCAGCCAGTAGCAGCAGGCGGCCGCGTCCCATCTCATCTTTGTTATTTCGAATGAGCCCTGAAGCTCTCGTAGTCTCGGTCCTCTGTGGCCCCTCCCTCCCGCGCTCTCACGTGCCTCTCATGTTTCTTCGGCTCGGCCTCGGGCCGAGAGGGAGGGCGAGAGCACGGAGGTAGACACGCGCGCCCTCGAGAGCTCGCCGACGGGAGGGTCCTTATCACCTGCCGTGATAACACCTGCAACACAAATGCAAAGTCGGCTTAGCCAGGCAGCATTCTTCCGGGGCAATTAACCGTACGCCCCGCGCCATGGGGTTGACGCAGCGCGTTTATCCCCCACGCGCAACTGCTCCCGGTATTTCGCTATCACAATCATCCTACCACCTTACCCACACCCCCCACCCCTCTCCCCAACCCCACGGGCTAGCCCGTCATATTCGCCTTCTCTCTCCTCTTTCCTTCCAATCCCCACTCGTCGCTCTCACTCACTCTCTCACTCACTCACTCTCTCTCTCTCTCTCTCTCTCTCTCTCTTCGCCCCCCTAACTCTCTTTCATCGGGGGTTTTTTGCTCGTAAGGGTCTTGTCGCGAGAGGCTTGGATTGTCGTTATTCCTTCTCTTCTCTCCTCCTTCTCCTCCGCTATAGTTCTTCGTGGTATTGTTTGCTTGGGGGGATGCGACCGTCTTGTCTCGTCTCAGGCGCGTGCCTCACTCAGACTTAAGTTTTCATCTTTTGTGAATTTGTTTATTTTTAAGGTTCTTGGGGATGTTTTATCGTTGGGTCTCTATTAGTATGATGCCCGTCGAGTCTCGAGCGTTATTCTGCAAGTGATTAAATGTAATTGAGATTTCAGTCTGAAGGTGGTTAATAGTTTGGTTTTTATCGTCGAAGCACAGCGGTATAACTCGAGGCTGCAAGCAATGAAGAAAATAAAAGAGACAATGGATAAAGATAATTAATGCTCGGCGTAGGCGTAGGGGGCAGGGGAATTCTCAGGAAATCATTTACATACTAAATAAAATTGTAAGATTTGCTCGATTGTCGAGTGAAATTCACGTCGAGAGGAAGTTATCACTTTGATATCCAAGTGATGCGTACGTTATTGTTCGTTTACACATGACTTAACTACTCAAATGAGAGTAAAACAGTATCGCTCGATAATATTACGCATAATTAACGATATGTATAGTACACTTTTTATTTACAGAAATATTTGCAGTACAATACAGCAATGTTCAAGTAAATTTGAGCAGAGTAGTATATTGCTTTTACAGAAAGTAGAGAAATATGTTTACAGATTGTCTTAATGGTTTTTTTTTTTTTTTTTTCAACGAGCTTTCAGTGCCATTGGATAGCTCATTGGAAATGAATGAATTATAAAGTGATCTTTATCATATCGAATCGTTTACCTTATCTAGTTTAAGATAATAAGTAGCTGAAGCTGAAGGGATGAAACTTGAAAATGTGATAGAATTGTTTGTTCGAATTCTATAAAGAGAGCAAAATAAGGTAATAAAATTATTGATTATGTGCTTTTATAAATTGAAAATAAATAAAGGAAATTTCAAAGGTCGAAATTTTACATAAAAGTTTGCCCAAAATACCAATAAGTGAAATAAAGCGGCTGTTTACATTTAAGCATTTATTCATTTAAATGTTTATGGGTTTCCTTTAAATCGGAATTGTATTTTTCCAATTTCACTTGTGATTCATCATCATACTGTCGTTTTTTTTTTTTTATTTTCATTCAAAAATTTTAATTTTATTTTCGTAAATCTGTGCATTCGCGTAGTATTTTATCGAGACTGACTAGTAAGCCGAACATTTTAAACGCGACTCTGATTTCCTTTAACTTTTATAATCGGCATGAAGCCAGCAAACGTTTTTTACATCAGGAATTAGAATTTTTCTTCAGTCAATAAAAGTCAAAGCGACTTGCAAGACGTAATTTTTAACTGTATAACAGCAATAAAATATATGTACATTTACGACTAATGAAAAAAAAAAAAAAAAAAAAAAAAAAATTAAAAAGTTGTAGTTAAGGTTTATTTATACTTTATGTTGCCATGAGGAACATATTTGCAGTACACGATTGTCTTTACATAAAAATATCAATAAGCTATTAATAGTGCTGTTAAATTATTTGTTGCGTTAGCTGTTCTATATTTAGGGTCGGCTTAGTATTTTCTTGTTCTATTCCTCTTAATACTTCTCTTTGGTTGACTAAAATCATCCAAATTGGCAAGTGCACATGAAAATATGGAATTCTGAAATAAAAATATGTAAGTGTCTGCTTGCAAATGGTAATTTCAAAAGAAGATAAATTTTATCCGTAGATAAATATTTATCATCTTGAGTTTAAAATCAGATTCGCATAGTGTATGCTAATAATAGTCGCCAAATGGACTCTCTGTTTGGATTAATAATAACTTGGCAATATTGTTTTCATCCGTAGGCATTGAAATTATTGTTTCAAAAATAAATTAAAGAATTTATTAAAAGCTAACATAATATACGTATAACCGTATGATTGATGACTTATTCCGATCTATTTGAATTGCATGGCATTGATTATTTTATTATTATATTATTTTATACTGCTTTGATAAACTTTAGCTACATAAATACATATTTAAAATTTCATAAAATTTGTTATAAAATGCATATAAGTCCGTACAAATATCATATTAGCTAAATATTTTTACTACAATCCGGCCTGAAATTACGAGGGTTACACTAGAAAATCATTTGAAAGAGCAACAAACGCAAAATGCTGCAACACTCTTTATAACAAATAAAATAGTATGTTTAAATAAAGAAAAAAAATATGTTTATAAAAGTTTCATTATGAAAGAGTATATATATATATATATATATATATGCTTTTTTATATAGAATCTGACAAGAGTCGTTCGATTAAACCGATCGATTAGATTTTCTTTAAACGGCAATAAATTCTTTAAGGTTTTGTTAGAAAATCTGCTCACAGTGGAACGCTGTTCAAGAAAATGTCAAGTAGTAATATACACGCAAGTAGCCCATCGTATTTTCACATGCGAGTGAACACGAAGTCGACATTAACGTGGACTTAATAATTCCGGAGCGACGGACGCGTCCATATTCACGTATGTATTGCGGTCTCTTTTACGCGCCTTGTAAAATGGGAGTTACCATCGTAAAGCAGATGCAGAGACACAGAGAAGGAGAGAGAGAGAGAGAGAGAGAGAGAGAGAGAGAG